TCATTGAGGAAACTCAAGCACACTCAGCTACATTCATCCATTGAAAAAATATGTACAATACACACAGCACGCGGAAGATATCTTTTCAGTGTGTTCAACACAAGATTGAACACGACCAATCTCATCGAAATATAACGTTTACTTCAGAAATGTAATAAAACCATAAATTAAGGTTTGGTGCGTAGAAAGGCAATTTGGAAAGACCAGTGCATACACTTCCGAAGTGTTGTACCATTGAAGATGTAAAGAAACGTGATTCGTTGCCTAGCGACCAGGGTAAGAAAGATCTGCAGTGATGATACGCGAGAAGCCAAGCTTCACTTTGCAATATCGATACTTAAATCTAACGGTTCAGTGCACAGTGAACACTTTATAGAGAACACAGGTTACTAGAAAAATCCCTATAAATTTCTTTGCCACTCAAAGGGGAACGCATCAGCTGAGATCATTCAGCGAAGATCATTCAGTGCATCCAAGCTTCGTGCATTGTTCATGTACAAGCCAATTGTGTGTTTGTGACTGAAGGACAAAGTTCCAGACTCTGCGGTCTCATTCTGTGTATACTCATTTAATTGTTTAATTTGTGTTTAATTGTATACAAGCCGCATGGTTATGCGTTGGTCTGAACAGATTGGTGAACACCTCTCGGAAAGATCAAGTGATAAATCTGTACAGTAATTCCATACCTAAGTGAAACACATCACATTGTGAACGTGACTGAGGTTTTCCGCCTCCCCTCTGTATGAGGTTCGTGGCGGCTTAATAAAACCGGTTCGCCGTCGGATGCCGGCCACAGCAGAGTAATCGATTTATGATCGAATTAGTGAATAAACAACTATCTCAGCATTTTGATGCCCAATAAAATTGTATTCCTAATTTATGATATACAGGCACTGTGATGCGTTAGTATGATTAAGAATCACTGAAAATCAAGCTAGTCCACCATTGTTTTGTTTGGTATATGTGTTTTGTGGTACTATTCAGATACTATATATATATTTATATTATTGATGTTTGACACTGTAATACTCTTATAATTCCACAAGGCGGTGTGTGGTCAAGGATGGTCGTTCACTGCAGATTATAGTGCGGGCATCGATAAGTTGGAATACACATAACGAGATATATCATTTGAAACATATCACAATTCCCAGTAGAACACAGAGGATGAAATGGACCGAGTTGTAGTTACTATTTGGAGCACAGAAATTTGTTCTAACTAGTGTTGTTTACTTTTCACCGTTGAAAAAAAACTGCCAAATGCATCTTTTTGCGAATTACTCACACGTGTGAGTAGTGTCTCACACCACTACTATGCTATCACCAAAACATTCTTTAATGCGATACCGACGGACAATGTAAAATTTAAAGAATTAATATATTTTTAGCCAAGCTCGAACAGGGACCTTTGAGGAACACAATTGACAGTCTTCACGTATACACTAGATACATGGACGATACGTTCACTATTTGTGACTCCGGAAGGGACATTAATAAGCTACTTGAAGTATTCAATAACGCTCATCCAGGCATACGATTTACAATGGAGGTAGAAAAGGACAACTTTTTCGCATTTTTGGACATTGGTCTTCGTCGTATGGAGGATGGTCACATCGAAAGAAGAATATACCGTAAGTGCACGTGGGTTGGACAGTACGCACATTTTCAAAGTTTTGTCCCACTGAGATATAAACGGAATTTAGTGAACTGTTTAGCATGCAGGGCAAATAGAATTTATAGTCCGGAGACTCTGACCGAAGAGTTGATCTATATAAAAGACATCCTCAAGAAGAACGGATACCCAGAAGCATATGTTCGACGACATATGGAGTCGAAACCAACCGATGTACAATTGGCAAGAAAGGAAGTGTTTGCCAACGTTCCCTTCAAAGGAGGTAAGGAATTAGAAATCCTGGAATATCGGTTATCCAAAGTCATTTCCAAATGTTTTCCCGCGGCGCATTTAAGACTATCATCCAGGACTGTTCAACAACTTAAAGATAAATTGCCACATCAGCCCCAATCCTTTGTTCTACATCAGTTCATGCGCAATGGTAGTGCTCGTTATATCGGACACAGAACGAGGCGTTTGTCTAAGAGAATATCTGAACACTGTACGGCCTCTATTCGAAAAGGAACAGTGAGAGAAGCTTGAACAGCTCAACCCTGCAACATTTGGTCGACAGTGGACCCAAAAACATCATTTACAAGTTTCTTCACTGCACCTAAAAACGACGCCAAAGGATTACATAGGAAAATCCTGACAACTGCGGAAGCCATAGCAAATAGGATCATGAAGCCGGAGTTGTGCAAGCAACGTAATCTGGTTCAGGCCCTGATGTTACCATGGTCATAATAACATTTACCCATATCTCTCTATGTGACACCTTCTATCCTCTCTCTCCCTCCCGTTCCCCCACCCCCCCCCACCCCCACT